ATTTAACATCTCAACCTCGAATCAATATTCACAATTTTATCAACCTTGGTGGAACTGAATACAAGTCTCCCAATATTTCAATAACAACAATAAGCATGGATAACAAGATTTAAGACTACAAATTTGCAAGAATGGAATTTCACTCGCATGCTATGACTCGACCACAACGCATAGATGCTCGTCACCTCAACTATACATCGTATTCAACAGCAAAACACGTAGCAATTACTCACACAATGCCTATTCCCTCAAGCCAAAGTTAGACACAACACTTACCTTGCTCTGAAGGCCACTTAATTCTAAAATCACAGCTTTTCCTTTGGAATTCACCTCCAAACCACTCTTATCTATTCAAAAATGACTCAATAATATAAAATATTATTTAAGAAATCAATTATATTGCATCAATTAAATTCCCCAAATTTTCCTCCAAAAAGTTAAAAAATCAACCCCAGGCCCGCTTGGTCAAAACCCGAGGTTCGGACCAAAATCTTCTTACCCATTCACACCCGAGATCGAATATGTAATTAGTTTTGGAATCCGACCTTAAATTGAGGTCTAAATCCTCAAATTTCAAAATTCCTAAGTTCTACCCGAAAATCCTAATTTCACCATAAAAATCCAGATTCTAGGTTGAAATCTTGTTATAAGATGTAAAAGATTGAAAGAAAAGAGTTAGGAATCACTTACCTATGATTTGGGGAAGATTTGGTCTTTGGAAAATCGCCTCTTTAAGGTTTAAGGTTTTGAAAATATGAAGAATGAATGAAAAATCCCGTCTAAACCCATTTTACTCACCTGCAAGTATCGCAATTGCGACCTGAGCTTCGCAAATACGAAGGAACAATCGCAATTGCGATGTCCTTCACAATCCCACTCCCTTCGAAAATGCGAGGAAAGTGTCACATTTGCAACCACTGAACCTCGCAAATGCGAGTAGATGTTCGCATTTGCAAACCTGCCCTTCCTAGACTCCCTTCGCAATTGCGAAGGTAACCTCGCAAATGCGAGAACTGCTGGCCCACACTTCTGATCGCAATTAAGATGAAAGCCTCGCAATTGCGGACCCTGTTATGTTCGTATTTGCGATGCCTGATCTCGCAATTGCGAGATCAGAGGCCTGCAACAGGTTCAGTTATACCAGAAAATTTTCTATGTTCAAAACATCCAGTGGCCTATCTGAAACTCACACGAGCCCTCGGGGCTCCAAACCAAACATGCACATAAGTCTAAAAACATCATATGAACTTTCTCGCGCAATCAAATCGCCAAAATAACACTTAGAACTATGAATTTAGTACCAAATCAAATGAAACTCTCAAGAACACTTTAAAATTCATATATTCTCAACTGGATGTCCGAATCATGTCAAATAAACTATGTTTCTCACCAAATTTCACAGACAAGGCTTAAATATCATAATGAACCTGTACCGGACTCCGAAACTAAAATACGGACCCGATACTAACAATGCCAAATATCAATCAATTCTTAAAAACAAATAATTTCCAGACTTTTAATTTTTATCAAAAATTCATAACTTAAACTAGGGACCTTTGAATTCAATTATGGGCATACGCCCAGGTCCCATAATTCGATACGAACCTACCGGGACTGTCAAAATATGGATTCGGGCCTATTTACCAAAAATTTTGACCGAAGTCAACTAAAATCAACTTTTAAGTCATAAATTCTTATTTTCATCAATTTTCAACATAAAAGCTTTCCTAAAACCTGCCCGGGTTGTGCACGCAAATTAAGGAGGGTAAAAATGAGATTTTAAGGCTTAAGAGTGCAGATTCGAGTTCTAAAACATAAAATGACCTTTTGGGTCATCACATTATCAAACCTACAAAGTCACAGAATTACATAAATAATCAAGTAACAATCACATCAAATTGTCATATAACAATAGATTCAACAACACAAAGGATTTAGGCACGACAAATAGATGATTAATTATATACCAACAATTACCCAGTTTACCACACAATATGCTCAAGACATTAACTCAATAAAATTTACACATATAAGCCGAGTATGTACTCGTCACCTCGCGTACACGGCTTTTCACATTTCACAAATGGCACATAAGACTCGATGCCTAAGGGGTAATTCCCCCACTCGAGGTTAAGCAAGACACTTACCTTTTTGAAGTTATGCCGATATTCCAAAATCGCTTTCTTGCTTGAATTGACTTCCGAACCGCTCCATTCTATCCAAATTAATTGTATAACTTCATTAAAATTCATCGGAAATAATTCCGGATAATAATACCCTTATCCAAATACCAACAAATATATTGGGTAATAATATCAATAAAGTTATATCTTAAATTGGTATGGTTGACTTTATTAAAATTCATCGTTTAATTGGATAAACAATTCCGTTTATGAAGTTTCTACAATTTTCCCCAAATTTCTATCTCAAAGTACTAATTAAATAATGAAATCAGTGATATATTCATGTATAATAATCAAATCCGAGTTAGAATCACTTACCCTGATGAATTTCTTATAAAACTGACGAAAAATCGCCACAAACCGAGCTCCCTAGGTCCAAAATGTGAAACAATACCCTAAACCCTATTTATATAGTGCACCTCTAATCTCCACTTCGCGGTCCGCAAAATGTTGAGCGCGGTTGCATCCCGGGTCCCGCGATCGCAAAAAACTGGTGCGTCCGCGAAATTCTTAGGGCTGCACTGCTAGGCTTTAGTATTTTGGCCATAACTTTCTCTACACATGTCTAAATGATGACTTATTTACCTTTCTGGACACTAGACACGAAGGTCTACAACTTTCATTTTTTAAATCATCTCAAAATTCCTTGTAGATCAAAAGATATAGGCTTCCGAAGTCGGACCAGCGGATCTGCAGAACTTCCAACCGCGGTCCGCGAAATTCTGTCGCGGTTTCCGAAATTCCAAGCACGGCCGCGAAATTCTGCTCGCACCTCTCCTTTGCCTCAGCACCCCAAAATGCGCGGTCCGCACCCCCAAAAGTGCCAGAATAATATTAGAGTGTCGAAATGTCCGGACTCGCTCAAAACTCACCCCGAATCTCATCCGGACCCCCCTGGACACAAACCATATATGAATTTTAATCATAGAACACGCTACGGACCTGCTCGTATACTTAAAACACTGAAAAGAGGTCGTCTTGACCCGATATTGACCATGGTCAAACTCCCAAATTTGTTAACTTTACTAATCTCTCAACCAATGATCCAAAAATACACCCAAACCCCTCTGGATCTCAACCAAATATACCAACACGTCCCAAAATATAATACGAACTTAGTGGAGGCTTCAAATCTCGTCAAACAACATCAAAATTATGAATAACGCCTCTAATCGAATTATGAGTTTTCGAATCTCCCAACTTCTATGTTTTGCGCCGAAACGTATCAAATCAATCCGGAATTACTTCAAATTTTGCACACAAGTCATAAATGACATAATGTAGGTATTCAAATTTTCAGAATCGGATTTCGGTCCCAATATCAAAAAGTTAACTCTTCGGTCAACTCTTTTCTTTTAAGCTTCTTAAATAAGAATTGTTCTTTTAATTAAATTCCGAAAATCAAACTCGACCACACCCTTGGGTCATAATACTTATTACAAAGTTGCTCGATACCTTAAATCACTGAACGGGGCATTAATTCTTAAAACGACAAGTCGGGTCGTTACAGTTGTGGACTAACTTTTTCAGTGAGGTTGGAGATTATGTCGGTGTTAGTGTAGGAACATATAAGCGGCGATGAAGTAGGCGGGTGTTTAACAAGAATTTTATTTCCTGCATACAAATACCACAAAAAAGTAAATACAACTAGGTTTGGTACAATACTTTGGTTGTGTTTAAAATAGGTGGTTTCAGACTTCGAATATAGATAAATACCTGTATATATGAATACATTATTTTCATTGTATCCCAAAATACGGTACAGACAAAATACAAGCTTGAATCATGACAATATGATACAGAATGTTGGTGTATTTAAAATTTTTGTTTTTCTGAATTCAAACACATAAATACAACTAAATACAAAAAAGGCAAAACCCTATACGAACTAAATTTATTGTATGAGGACAAAACAAATAGAAATACATGTATCTTAAAAGGAGACAGGTTATAGGAATACACAAAATACATGTATGGAAAAAAAAATTACATCACCTTGTCCTTCCGTATTTTTGAGCTACTTCCTTTGGCGACCTGTTTTCCCTTGCTCCTAGAAGCAATATCGCTAATTTTTCTTCTCTTTTTCACATTTATGTTGTGTACCTAAACATTAGCAACTGTGGTTCTTTTCAAGGATTTCGCATCTTCAACTTGTTTCACAGGGTCATTGCGTAGTTCAGTTCGTCTCTCGGCTTCCATGGTTGCTGCAGAACCTGCAAATACAGCTTCCTCTTGAGTGATTCACACATCGAAATATGGCCCTTCAAAATTGAGGGCTTTAGTGGGTATACCTCGTGTAACCTTCTTCGAGGTTCTTGAATGAGCCATTAAAGATGAAAATTGAAGTTTCTTCCTCAAAATCCAATAATGGCGAAAATTAAAAAGGAGAGTGAAGAGAAAAAGAAGAATGACAGAGTAGTAAGAAAGAATCAGCCATGTGCTTTACCAATTAGTAATGAACCACGATTTTTAGGAGCAAAATCGTGGTGGAGTCATTTTGAGAAATTTGCTCCTAAAATCTTGCTGAGAGAGAAAGATCGTGTGCTAACTGGAAGAGAGAGAGAAAAAATATAATTGACGTATTTCACGTCTTAATGGTAGTGCATATAATAAATATGTATTTTGTTATAAAATTTAAAAGGTAGCTATATGTAATAATATTTTAAAATTATTTTAGTTTATAATAAATATGATGTATTAGTTTGCTATAAGAATCTTTTAGGTATGTTGTACATATTTGAAAATAAGCCCAATAGTAGTGGGCTCTTAAGTACTGATCCAGCAGAAATCTAAACCCTTATATAGTTTCAACACAGTTGTCTTCAAAACCCCTCTCAAAAAACCCTAGTCTCGTCCCCCTCCCTGTTCTCTCTGTCCTGCGCCAACCATGGAAATCGACAATCCTCCTCCGACAGAGAAACCGGCGACAACACTACCGGCAAAGCCCAATTTCCAACCTCTAAAAGCCCACGAAATCTCCGACGGCCAAGTTCAGTTCCGGAAAGTCACAGTCCCACAGCACCGCTACACTCCGTTAAAAAAAGCCTGGCTTGAAATCTACAATCCAATCTACGAGCAGATGAAAATCGACATCCGAATGAACCTCAAAAAACGTCGGGTTGAGCTCAAAACCCGACCCGACACGCCCGACATCAGCAACCTCCAAAAATCCGCCGACTTCGTTCACGCTTTCATGCTAGGGTTTGACACGTGTGATGCCGTAGCATTGCTCCGTCTCGACGAGTTGTACGTTGATTCGTTTGAGATTAAGGATGTGAAGACGCTGCGTGGCGAGCATTTGTCTAGGGCTATTGGGAGATTGTCGGGGAAAGGAGGGAAGACGAAGTTTGCTATAGAGAATGCGACGAAGACGAGAATTGTGATTGCGGATACTAAGATACATATATTGGGATCGTTTACGAATATTAAAATTGCTAGGGATTCGCTTTGTAGCCTTATTATGGGGTCTCCTGCTGGTAAGGTTTATTCTAAGCTTCGATCTGTTACTGCCCGATTGAATGAAATGTTTTAATTTTTGTTTTTTTTTGAATTATAGATTTGCAATGTTTAAGTGTATTAAAATTTTGAGCTGATTGGAAAATTTTGTCTGAGATATGTATTGTGACTCTGTTATTTGTGGTCTTTAAATTTATGCAATTTTAGTAGTGGAATGGAGTATAATATATTGTATTTGGTTTAGCTTGGCTTAATGAATTGGTTTGGGTCTTTTGAGCAATCGGTTGTTTAAATTGTTAAAGCTGTGTGTATTGTTTACTCTTGGAATTGGACTTTACATCGACTGTATAGAATTGGCAAGGTAGAGAATTGTTAATATTGAGTTTTAGATATAATTGGAGTGGTGAAACTCTAGTTGGTTTGCTTCTCTGATCCTTCATTAAAGAGGTAAATAGCAATATTCGACTAAGTTACATCTTGCAAAAGGCATTTTCTTAGAATTCAAAGTGAATATTTGGGTTTCCTCTGGAAATCATCGTGTTTTCATTTTAGCTTCCTGGTTCCTGCTTTAGCTCCAGTCATTCAGCAGGAGTCTCAATTGAAGAACATCTATTAATCCCATTGATTTTTATGATCATGGACTTGTAAAGCGGGCAATTAGGAAAGGGGAGCTATCATAAATAACTTTTGAAAGTTTTAATTATTTGAGACTGCCACTTCCAGATTTATGCCATTTTTTGCATGACTTTTTGCCTTATGGTTGCATTTCTTGTATGTCAAACCATTCTAAGTGGCATAATAAGGAGTAGTTGTTGAGTGAATGTACTGCAGTAGCTGGAAGTTTGTGACTGATTTTGATCAAGTTGAAGATTAGTTACAATTTGGCGTTTCTAATCTTATGACTAATTCACTTTGCAGCTCAATATAGGTTTGCCACTTTGCCTTTGGGTCCTTTTATGTTAAAAAGGAATTATTGTATGCTTTTATGTGTGTAAGTTTATTACTTGAGATAGTACATATGTTACATATTATTAGCAGACGCAAGGATTGCGCCTTCGGCATTATCCATCATTAATCTTGTCAATGTGCTGGATTAATTTTGCCTTTTCAATAGTGTTGGCAGCTTAGCTGCTTTTCCCAAACCTCAAGCTTCGACCCGTACTCACCTCCCCACGCACACACAAAAAAAGAGAGAGAAGTTCATTCAAGAGTGCTTTATGTGTTAGCTGCTCATTAGTGCGCACACACAAAAAAAGAGAGAGAAGTTCATTCAAGAGTGCTTTATGTGTTAGCTGCTCATTAGTGCGCACACACAAAAAAAGAGAGAGAAGTTCATTCAAGAGTGCTTTATGTGTTAGCTGCTCATTAGTGGCTCTTTGAAGAGTTACTAGGGCTTTGGTTAAAAGGATTGATCTTTAACCACTTTATGCAATGGCCACTTAGAAAGGAAGGAACATGACGTTAGTTGCATTTTAAGTTTAGTTAGTTACTAAATAAAGTGTTTGGTTTAGCGTTAATGATGGTAGTTAGTTATAATACAAGTATTTTTATAGATATTGAGCAGTACATAAATACTGAGCTGTATACGAGAAGCAAAGCATGAATTGAGCCATGGGACTGGAGTCGTTTGTAAATTCTGGATTGCCTTGGACATTTTTATTCCAAGGCACCAGGATTGTTTGCTGCCTAATGAGTTTATGATCTCAAGTTTGCAGAATGCTTACCTTTGAATTGTAAGAAAATAGTTGATTCTCATGGATGTGCAGATCTTGCACAGAGTAGTTAGGAACATTTCGATAATTCAAAGTCTTCCAACAATCAGAAAAAATTTATTTTGTGTGTCACACAACTACACTAGTTATGTGAGGCCTCCTTTTTGTCTCACACAACTTTGTGGTCCCAGAATTTTGTGGACCCAAATGTGTAAGATATGGGTCCACAAATGTGTGGGATAAAAAAGACACAACTAAGGACACGGTTGGCCATAGATTTTGCCTACATTTTGGCCAAATTTCAAAACTTTTGTATTTTATAAAAGAGCCCGTGTAAAGATGTTGCTTCGTCTTGTCGGTCATCTGATAGTTTATCATGTAGTTCATTATAAAAATGATAATTTTGTATCAAATTTATTTATGTTTAGGACTATGGTACTGTTGGGTATTTGTGATAGTTTTTAGAACTTGTGTGTATAATAAATTTGGAAATCTATTGCCAAACGCTAGCTAAGTCAGTTGTGTGAGGCACACCATAAAATCACTCGAATGATCAAGTTTTGCGTTGATTGTCGGTTTACCATAACACTCCTCCTTTATTCGGGTTTGAATTCGACAATATGAGTAAGCTCATACATGCTAGTTTTAAACAAAAATTGTCTACGTCTATTGTACATAGCACGTATTTATTAGGTGGTTATAAGGTATCGGATAAAGCTACAATTTCCATTGTCCATATGGAATTTCTTTTGTGCAGAAAAATAAAGAATGAAAAACATAGATGCCTCAAATCATAGAGCTACCTATATTATGCTCGCTGGAGTAGATCACATTATTGAAATTAGTGATTAATAAAGTAAAACTCCTACTTGACGATTTAGACGTAAGTGCTACAAGATCGCATGCACTGAATTCATAGGTATAGAACCAAACTCCTTAGTTTTTTCAAGTGAAATCCCTAGTATATGAAAAATTAAATTGTTAGTGTCTGGTCAAAGGAAAATTGGGTGGAAATTTTCTGTCCATTCCTCCCCCTCCCTCAAATTCTTGGATTGAAACGGGGTTCAAAAACTGGTGCTCGTTTGATAGTTTTTGCAAAACAAGTTACACGTCTCTTCAACTCTTCGGAAAACATAAAGAGCAACCTTTTAGGAGATTTTTAAGTTTTCCTAAAATTTTAGAAAAAATCAAAGTTTTGAAAAATATTTATTAGCTTATCTAGGGGTGGGCATAGTTTGGGCAAACCCAAAATCCGGAATTTTTGGATTTTTGGTTTGGATTTACGGATTATGGATTGCATTTTGTGTTTAATTTTTAAAAATTTTGGATTTTGAATTGGATATTTGATTTGGTACTTCGAAATTTCGAATATCCAAAAATCCAAAATTTTATTCTTTATATTTAGTCCATTATCCATATGTCAATAGTAATAAGTTCAAATACCCTACTCATTAGATATTATCTCATATATTCAATATTAGTTATAAAGTTACTGTCAGAATACTTTCTATTTGGACATGGTTTTATTATTGCTACTTCTTATCGGCTTCATTAATGTCTGTATTATATTTCCTTGATAATAATTTCATTACTTGAATATTTTATTTGGATGATTGCAGTGAGAATAAACTTTTCAGGCAATTTAACATGAGTACTTCATTTGGATATTCATTTTTGTAAAAAGAAAAAACATCTCAACTTATAAGCTCAAAATCGAAAAATCCAAAAATATCCAAACCGATTAATCCGAAACCGAATTTAAAAAATCCGATCCAATCCGAGCTTATTTGGATTGGATTTGGATTATCATTTCTTCAATCCGAAAATCGAAAATTAAAAATCAAAAATCAAAAGTCAAAAATGATATTTTCATATCCAATCCGAACTGCCTTGAACGCCCACCCCTCTTTTAAAAATCATCTTACATACACTTTTTACGAAAAACTTTTTCACACATTTTTCCAACCAAAAAGGTAAAGCGACAAAAATTTTGTTTCGAGAAAGTGGGTATCCGACCCAATAGAAGGCCCAAAGAAGCTAATTGGACCATTCCCAAGGCCCGACGGCGAGCCGCCTCCGAAAACATCACTTTCTTGATGGTCAAGCATAACTACTTTGGCACATTAGCATATACCCCCTCCTTTGTTTATTTAAAAAGAAAAAAGAAAAAAACGTAATAAACATATTTTTTGCATAATATTTTTATAAAAATAACAGCGTAATTCATCACCATTCACGCTTAACTCTTTCTTTTCCCCTTTGACTTAAAACAATTATTCCATTTTTATTAATTGTTTTCTCAAAAACAACATGAACCATAACTATTCATCCCTAGCTTTTTCTTTTATTCCTTTTTTATTTTCTTTTGCCTTCTTCATCCAAAATATTTTTTTTTTTCCTTTTTTACTTACTTGTTTCTGTACTATTGGTGCACAAGTCATGCTTCTTTAGATCTTTCTCCTTACTTATTACAAAAACTAAAAGACTTGAATTCATTTACGTCAAATCATTTAAAATAAAGTTACATGCAAGCATTAATAAAAAGTAGACCTATAATCAGAGGCGGACTTACATTATATCTTGACGGGCCACTGACATCCAAAAATTTCAATAAAAACTCCATATATATATATATATATATTTATAATTTTTTTTCAAAAAAATAATCAGATATTAACATATACCCCATATCAATCTATATGAGCAATAATAAATTTATATTGAATACTATAATGCTCCCGCGATCATCGAATCCTGGTTCCGCCTCTACTAATGATACTAACAATAAGACAAATTATTACTACTGTAAGTCTGTAATAACATGTAAAAACATTTTAATAGTGTAATTTTTATTTTTTTTACATTACCCATGGATATTAGCTAAGCTCAAATAAAAATCTAAATAAACAAATATTTTATTTCAAGATTCTCACGTGCCCCCTCACGTGTAAAACCTAACTAATCTCACTTTTCTCGAGTTTTCCTTTTCTTTTTCTTGTGAAAATTTCTACA